TGGAAGGCACTTCACTTCGGTTCTGTCAGGATACAGCAACGCAAAACTGGTGGCACCATATAAGCTTAAATCGCTGTTGAACTTCACAATCTTCTCGGTTCCTTTCCGAAGAAGCTCCTCAGCACCAATCGATGGCAACACTTTAAGCGGCAATGTCGACCCGCGGATTACTTTCAGCTCTCCATCTTTTAACCTTATAAGGCCGATATGTATGGTGACTTCACTCTCGCTGTTTTCCTTTTTCGCTTTCTTCACAGACTCCCTACCAACAAACCGCGAGCTTCGTTCCTTTCCTTTTCTTTCTCTATATTCCTCAAAGGTGACTGGAGTACTTTGATGTCGCTTTCTTTCTGAAGATTCCATTTCTAATTCAGCAACACACAAAGAATCGTCATCTTTTACTCCTATATTTAACCCGCAACCATGACAAAATTTCGCCGCAGTGAGTAATCGTGAGCCACAACCCGAGCAAAACATGGCGAACAGCAAAATTCGCGGGAAAAGCTGACCTGACTCTTAGGCTCTGGAGAGTCTGGAGACGAATTTGCCCAGTCCCTTTGGTCGAGTGCGCGCGCATGATGGGTTGTTTTTTATTTGTAGCGTACATTTTATTTGCAGCGTTTCTGTTATTTGCAGAATACGTTTTTTATTTGCAGCGTTCGCTTTTTGTTTGCAGCGTCCCCTTTTTGCTTGCAGCGTCTCTTTTTTATTTGCAGCGTTTCTTTTTTGTTTGCAGCGTTTCTTTTTTGTTTGCAGCGTTTCTTTTTTGTTTGCAGCGTGTCCCTTGTGGGCCATCGTAGTTTTGGAGTTTTGTGAGGTCTTGCATCAAACTATTTCATGTGAGAGATCAATGCCGAATGACTTATCGTATACTGTCGTGATTTGTACTTATTTTGTTATATAATTACAATATTTATAGCTATTAACGAAATTCCCGGGAAGTTTATCACTTTCAGAAAATAATAGCGCGCTACAGAAGCGCAACGCCTCGGTAATTTAAGGCGAAAGTTGTCCCAGGTAGTTGAAAGTTGAACTTACATACAGTCATGCGTTGAAAGGGGAAACGGAGTTCACGTTTACTTGCTAGTTCAAGCTAGCTGCAGTCCTGTAACGGATGACGTGCGATCAATTTGCGTTGACTGCCGATGGGTGCCAAAGGGAGAAAAACGTCCGCGGACTTGTCTGTAAATATTGATCTCGAACAAGTGAATGCAGGCCATCGCAAGTCCTTACGTCTACTAGCGACTCCTTTGACCAATACCTCAGGTCTTGAGAAAAAAAAAATAAAAAAAGTTTCATGATGAAACTGATATATATCACTACCAGAATCGATAAAGAATATCAGAGCGGATTAACAGCCACCTTAAATTTTCCGAAAATTTGAGGTGGCTCTGAATCTGCTTCCACCATTTCTTTTTTTTTACACTTACCAAAATTTTAAAAGTTGACATGCTGATTAGACTTCGCTTTAAAAGAAGGTTTCAGGAGCCGTTCTTGAGTTACAAACCCATAAATCTTAAATTAAGGGTGTTTCAAATGGGTTATTCTTTTGCAGTAAGTAATCATGTACGTCACGAAAATGGCCACAACTTGCTCACCAATGTTTGGGCATTTGTTTGATACAATTATTGTAGCATCGATGGATGCGTTTGGCCACATGCCGGATAGAGCGGTCCGGGTTTGAGTCCTGGCCAGGGGCATTGTGCTGTGTTCTTGGACAGGACACTTCACTCTCACAGTGCCTCTCTCCACCCAGGTGTATAAATGGGTACCGGCGAACTTAATGCTGGGGGTAACCCTGAAATGGACTGGCAGCCCATCCAGAGGGGCGTTGAAATACCCCCAGTCGCTACATACTACAGCAACCGGGGTAAGCTCAAACTAATCTTGATTCATCAAAGGAAAAATTCTGAAAAAATGCTGCAAAACGTTATGAGCTACATTAGTACCATACGAAAACAAACCATGCCACTGTGGGATTCATCTCGTTATAGATATAAAATATTCTCAAAAAGCTGAAAGATTAAATTCACGCCATGAAATGTCTACGTCTTGTAAATATATTTTTTAAGAATGAAATGACGTAAAAAGAGAAATATTTGTTTCTTCTTTGTACACTCAATACGTGACATTTTTATCACTTTTAACACTTCTCGCGTGGAGCGTGACACAAAGCACGTAATCGATAGCTTGCTTTACACCGCTAGGTTACAAAAATAAGGTTACGTTCAAAGCAAACAATTTTTATTTTAAAGCTTTGAGAATATACCTCTGTGACCCTTCAAGCGGAAAGCCAAACGTGACCCGTAGAATATCTCAGCCCCAGAAATCGCACAAAAACTGCACAGATTGAATGGTTGTCTCACGAAAAGATATCGCACAATTCAATCAGAGGCGATGCAAATAAGTCAAACAATGGACTACTCCCAATACAGCCGCAATAACGTTTAATTTTATCTCATCTGCGTCACAATGTCCACAGAAGTTTCCCCTTCAATGGTTTTAACAAGGGAAACAAAAAGAGTGCTTATTCGTTTTAAACAAGTTCACTTTCCACCACAATCGTGGGTGTTTCTTTACATTTCGAGTCATTCCCTTTTACGTTATTTTGTGGTCGCATGTTTCAGCGCCGGATCGGAGTTCTGAGTTCACGCAATGATTTCAAACAGAAAAAAGACTGATGTGATATAATCCATATCCTACAACTACTCACCATGCTCTTATTAAATCTTTCGATTCAGTTTTTGGCAACGCGTGACAAATTCCTATCAATTGACCATTACGTGACAGAAAGTCCATATCGGACACCATATTTGCATTTCAGCATGCAGAATGAGCGAGGAGAACAGAACATAAGCTTTCGCTTTAACGAGCAAGGGACTGACGCTGGAAGGCTTGACTACTTTTATGGATTGCTGTTTGAGAACAAGGGATGGGAATGTGGTGGATTATCCCGGAGTCATTAGTGGAATGTCATTGGGAAGATGATGTACTTTGCTGAATTCCAGACGTCGCGATGGTTACCGTTATCGTCTAGGATTCTGAATACACCAATACTTAATATTTGAACGTAATATCTTACAGAAGGTGAGCTAAACGTGACTTTCTGCCATAGTTTAAGTCCACATACTGAGGAAATCAAATGTAAGAAAACATTTTCACGTTCGTTTTGATTATCTGGTCACAGCCACTTGCCTATTGTTTTCGTTTCTAGCAGGTTAGTGTTGTGATTATCACGATTTTGAGAGCGTTAGTACTCAGCGCTGATGAAAAGCCCGAAAAAAAAATTTATACCAGTTTTTACACTGACATTTCTTCTTTAGAAATGTCAGAAACTTAGGTGTTTCGGTGTTTTACCGGGTAGCGAATTTGCCGATTGAAAAAGTGTGCATAATTAAGAATTTTGAGGAAGTAAATTTTAGTGATGTTAAGCGGCTCGTCGTGACCTTGAAAATTAACCCACAGAAGAATAATTGGCCTCAAAAGACTTGTAAACCCCTCAATAATAAGTTTCTAGGCTCAAACTGGAGTGTTATTGTGATGCGGATTGAACAGATCGAAGTTTATGATAAGGTATTAGGCACTAAATTTTGCTTGTTTTTGACCAGACGTGGGACCGTAACGGATATTTCATTTTTTAGTGGGTTTAAAAACTATTTCAAGAAAAAAAAAACCCACCACGTTTCTAGGCTTACCATAGGCTATCTCTGGGAGGAATATTAAAAATTTTGATTTTTCATCATGTGCCACATATTTACGATATGGCTCGGTCCTAGTGGACATTCTCTCTTAAGTATAATTTCTGCCTTCGTAACAAATGTTATGTCTTTTATCAAAGCACTGGTTAGGCTGAGAATTTGTTTATTTCGCTACGTGTTTTGTCGGAGGGAATCTAGCAAAACTTGTTATTTTAGTACAGTTTTAACATTACTGTTGCTAACAATGGTCTCTGTGAGCCACATTTACTGCAGACAATACAAATAGCTCGTTTCTATTGTGTTTGTCTGAGTCACAGGGGATGGTTTATTTGGGTCAAATTTGTCAAAATTCCGAAACAAAAAATTCAAAGCCAGCTTACCGTCATCAACCCGTGCTCTGTTCTCTGATAAAGCGTGCTGTTTCAGCCAATCAGAGCGCGCGTCATATGGAAACTTTATTACAAATCACGATAAGAAGGTAAAATCTCACCTTTCGTCACAGTCAGTTTCATGGCAGAAAACGTTTTAAACACTTCTGCCGATGCCGCCATACAAGTATATCTGCCCGAGTCCTCCTCTTTGGGATTCCAGATTTGAAGTGTTCCATCCACATTAACCGTTGATCTTCCAACAGGTAGCACGTCGTTTTCTCTCACCCAAGTGACTGTCGGCTTGGGGTCTCCAGTAGCCTGACAAGGGACTGTAATATTTTGTTTTTTTTCCACTTCAAGCTTTACAGGCGGACTGACCGTGAAACGTGGTAATTCTACAACGTTTAGTTGCGTAAACGCTGAGTCATATCCTAAGATATTTGTCGCTTTACATTTGTATAAGCCAGAGTCTTTCTTTTGAGCCTTTATTATTGACAGCTGACCGTCTTTCATTATAGTCCTGGCTTGCACCAGTTCACCATGTACTGCAGACCACGTGATCAATGCTGGAGGAAAGCTCGTCGCGTGACAGGTTGGTAAAGTGATGTCCTTGTTCTTTTCGACGTATGATGGCCCAAACGAGAGAGAAACTTTGGGCTTACCTAGAAAGAAATGAAAAAAAAAAAATGTTTAAGTACACGGGATATAGGGGCGCTTTTAATAGCACCATATGAATGAATGACTGACTGACTGACTGACTGACTGACTGACTGACTGACTGACTGACTGACTGACTGAATGAATGAATGACTGCTTTATATCAACACGAAAACTTTATTTTCGTTCACTCAAAGCACGCATCAACCATATTCAAACACAATTGAATCTTTAACCGTACCCTTACAAATATTCCACATATAACTACTTTATATCATCCAAACAGGATTGAAAAACAGACAGACTGAGAGACAGACAAACAGACAGATAGACAAGAAAACAAATAAATACACTTAAATGTCTCGATACGTACTGGGAAAGGAAAACAAAAAACTAGCAAAACAGAAATTCCGGAAAAACTAACAATCTCATAATCACTCCCTAGATGTCTAGGGGGATCTGGATCACTAGAAAAGTTGAAAATTTCCATGGACATGCCAATTTTAAGCATAACTGGCAATAGCTCATGTGCTTAGTTGAGGTTTCTATGTCTTAAGTGATCTGTAATGTCAGAGTAGTAGTTCCCAACCTAACCGCTGGCAGCCTAACCCACATTAAGTCTAATTGCTAACTTGGGGATGTAGGTCAAGCGTTCCTTTAAATTTTCCCGTGATTGTGAAGGCAATAAAATATGTAAATAAAACAACGGTGTAGGAGAATAATTGTTCTCAATACTGTATACATATTACAGTTGAAGGTTGGTTCTCGCCAGGCACTTCCTAAATCAAGTTATTTGGCTTAAAGCGACGTATGTTACATGTTGTGTACTTGAGACAAAATAAACTATATAAAAGATATGTATAATTTCAACTTACTCTGTACAACAAGGTTTGCAGAGGTTTCATCCTTTCCCAGAATATTGCGCGCCACGCATTTGTATTTCCCAGCATCCTCTA